TATTCTTCACTACGTCTATACATTACATAAGAAATAGTTTGGTTGCAATAAAGTAGAATCACGTTACAGAATAGTTGTATAGTTGACAAAAACTGAATCTTGCACTGACGCAAATGTCCTATAGCGGCTGCAAGAGGCTTACACTTTTGTTGTATAACTGTTACCTGCAGCCCTTATACAACCTCGTAAATGACTGAAGTGTCCTATTAGGTGTGCCCATTCCGCTTGTATAGCTGTTCTAAGAGGGTTTTTCCTATGTTCTTACAGTATACTGTGCTGTTTAAGGTATACTGTATAATCATTCTTGCAACTCTAATAGGAGTGATAATTGTTAGTTGGGCAATATATGACTGTAATGTGTTAGTTATGTATTCTCCACTTCGCCTATACAATATACAGGGTTACAGGAAAAGTCGTGCTAGATCCGTTAAGGGCGTGTAGTACCCATCATTTCTGACTTATTTCATTATGAAACACCCTACCCTAAACTTAACCCTTTTCGAGATATTCAACTTTTAATGTTTTTATTGAAAATTGCCGATTTTTAGGCTACTAAATGTATTTATTTTTATTTTGTGTGTTATTATTACTATTATTGCATTTTAACATGTGTAATAAGATGCTTTAGGACGTCAATCATTAAAATAGTCCATAAGTTAATTGAATAGGCCGTAGTAGATAAGTGAATGTTAAGAAATTGAAAAAAATATCAGAAAGTTTATTTTTCTCTAAGGGATATCTAAAAAAAATATTATGGCAATTGTTCGGCAGATGTGTTTTAAAATATCTATGTTTTATCAGCTATCTAACGAGGTATAACAATCTAGGATTTTATTTAAATGCATTGAAAAAACTTAGTTTCATAGGCGACAGTGGAGAAGAAAATTGATACTTAGCCCTAAAAAGTAAAATAAAACAATAGGTAAGCATGAAATATCATTTATTAAATCAGGTTTTCACACAACTTTTTCTTACTCTACAGTTCATGTTCAACATGGCTGCCTCTGTTTCTAATAAATTGTCGCATCCTTCTACGGAGACCAGTCTTTACAACTGCAGTGGTCAACGTTGTCCTTAGTTGATTTGCTGCATCGACAATCCTTTCTCTTAATTCTTCCACAGACGAAACTGGATTTGGCTCGCTGTAGACAAGACTTTTCATGCACCCCCACACATGAAAATCCATGGGGGTTAGGTCCGGACTTCTTGCTGGCCATGGCAACGGCCCACCTCGTCCTATCCATTTGTTTGGATAATTTGTGTCCAGCCAGTCTCTGACACTTCTCCTGAAATGGGCAGGGCAGCCATCATGTTGGAACCACATGTCCCTTCTCAAGTTGAGTGGCAGATCATCCAGCAAATCTCTGAAGTCTCCTCTCAAGAAGTTTTCGTAATTTTCCCCATTTAGATTGTCCGGGAGAAAGTAAGGTCCAATCAAATGGTTGGAGATAATGCCCATCCACACATTCACGCTGAATCTTCGTTGGGACCTCGCCACTCTTTTCTTATTGGGATTCCTTAGTACTTTTGGGGCCCAGTAATGGGCGTTGTGATAGTTAGTTATGCCATCGTTATCAAATTTGGATTCATCTGTCCATAAGATATTTCTTAGAAAATCTGGGTCTTCTACGTCAGCATTTAGCATAAATCTGCTGAAGTCCAACCTTCTCGCGGGGTCTCCTTCTTCAATAGTGTGTACCGGCGTGTAATGATACGGGTATAGGCCAGCAGTATGCACTGTAAACCACACTCTCCATTGCGAAAGTCCCAGATCACGGGCAACACGATTAGTGGAAACGGCCACATCCGGCACTCGACGACCGGGGAAGCGAGTTCTGTATTCGTTGCGAGCTTGCGCAGATACACAATCGCAGTATCCGTAACAAATAAGCATATCAGCATATTCCTCAGGTGTGTAGGACGTCATCTTCAACACTTCCGTATCACAAGTACAAATCAGAGTCCAGTGAACAAGCACAGTATTCACAAATCAGAAGAAATAGTCCAGAATCGTAGCCAAGTCGAGGAAAAGAGCAAAACGATATCACATCTACTATGTACGAAGCACAAAAGCAGACTGACAACCAAAACAACATCCCGTGTTGGATTTCCAGCCCTAACCGGTTATTATAATATGTTTTCTTTCATTCGCACCCACATTAAATCGTCATGTCTCGCTCGCACGGTGCGTCTAAACTTGAAGGAGAATAGGCGTGGGAACTGCTACTGGAGCGTCCCAACTACTTTTTTTCTACGAAATGTAATACAAATCCTAGATTGTTATACCTCGTTAGATAGCTGATAAAACATAGATATTTTAAAACACATCTGCCGAACAATTGCCATAATATTTTTTTTAGATATCCCTTCGAGAAAAATAAACTTTCTGATATTTTTTTCAATTTCTTAACATTCACTTATCTACTACGGCCTATTCAATTAACTTATGGACTATTTTAATGATTGACGTCCTAAAGCATCTTATTACACATGTTAAAATGCAATAATAGTAATAATAACACACACAAAATAAAAATAAATACATTTAGTAGCCTAAAAATCGGCAATTTTCAATAAAAACATTAAAAGTTGAATATCTCGAAAAGGGTTAAGTTTAGGGTAGGGTGTTTCATAATGAAATAAGTCAGAAATGATGGGTACTACACGCCCTTAACGGATCTAGCACGACTTTTCCTGTAACCCTGTATAAGAAAAAGTTTGGATTGAATAAAGTAAAATCATGTAACAGAATTATTGTATAGTTGACAAAAATTGAATCTTGCGCTGAAGCAAATGTTCCTGAGCGGCTGCAAGAGGTTTACACTTCCGTTGTATAACTGTCACTGCATCCCTTATAACATACTTATACAACCTCTTAAATGACTGCAGTGTTCTATTAGATGTGCCCATACCGCTTGTATAATAGCTGTTCTAAGAGCGTTTTACCAATGTTCTTGCAACATACAATGCTACCTGTATGTAAGGAATACTGTATAATCGTTCTTGCAAACCTAAAGGGAGTGATAATTTTTAGTTGGGCATGTACCCGCGAGAGATCTAGTGTGAATGGATTACAGGATGCTTATCCATTTCCCATTGCAGACGGCAGCCATGATACAGTGATGCAGATGTGCATGCATTTGCGCCAACCGTTTATAAGAGTTTTTCATATTTGGTGGAATACGGTCTGTCGCTGTCGGGTTGCAGTTATTCTGTGTTCAAATACCTGCACGCTCGAAAGTGATGCAACTGATAATGTCCGAAGCGGCGATGCAATGTACTCACTTTCCGATTTTATGAATGGCTACTTTCCGATGTGGATGCTGTGCATTTCTATTAATACATTGAACATTGTGTTTCTGGTACAGTTGCTAGCCGCCCATATACATTGTCCCTAATAGTACAGTTAGTTCAGTTATAAAAGGTGATTTATTTAGAGGAACTTTTCAAAAGCATAGAAAATAAAAACATTCAACTTATTTACTGTATAGAGGTGGTACAGCATTGGTAGACTTTTATCCTGGATTTTCTTAAATTGCAGTAAATTGGCATTTTCAATATATATATACCTGTTCAAATACTAATTTAATCATAGGAGTGTTACTCATAAAATAATAAATTTTAAAAAACTACTTATGATATTATATATGATAGAGATAAATTTCTAAAATATACACAATTATACACAGTGCCCGAATTTTGACCCACATATCAAAGTTGTAAGTTTAAAATGAAATGCCCTAAATTCTATTGCATAAGGTAAACTAATGCAAAAGAAGAAAATTGAAACATTGGCCGAAAGTTGGCACCCCTTTTTGCAGCACCCTTGATTATTTTCGAATAGTTCTAGTTCTCAGGGGGTTGCGAGAATAGTTCAGCAGTTTTTTTTGCGAAATTTTTAAAAGAAGTTTTAGGGTGCTAGCTTAACTTCGCACCCCTTTAACGTAAAACGTGAGTTCTGAGCTGGGGATTCTCAAGGTAGTAGTTTTTAGCAAGAGTTCTGCAAAATTTCAAAGTTAAAAAGAAATCAGCAGAATATTGCCAGAAAATTCGACAAGTACACGACACTCCAGCACAGTAAGCTTCACACATTCATCCAACAAATGATGTTCAAACTCTGAACTTGGGGATTCTATGAAAAAAAGCTACCCTGTTGGAGAAAATGTGGAGAAATACCTCTGAAATAGCAGAAATTCCCACAAAAGTGATAAATCGCAGAGCTCTAGCATAGCACCCCTTTAGATAGCTCTAATATATTACCCAGTTCGATCAGATATCTCTAGCATCATACCCAGTACAATTTCAAAATCAGAACTCGAGGGTGACATCAGAAAAAAACACCCTTGGTTGGGAAAAGTGACGAGAAATATCTTGGAGACTTCAAAAACTCTCATGAAAGTGAAAAAACGGTGGGTTCTAGCGTAGCGCCCCGTCATACATTCAATATTATATTCTGCACAGTTTCAAAAGCAGAACTCGGGGGTGCCATTAGAAAAAACTATACTTGTTTGGAAAAAACTACGAGATATACATTGAAAACCACAAAAATTCACATAAAAAAGGAAAAAACGCAGGGTTCTAAGGCAGCACCCCCTCAAATATATTTAGCAACATTCTGTACAATTTCAAAAGCAGAACTCAGAGGCATCATTAGAAAAAGCTACCCTTAGTTGAGAACATGTCGAGAAAATCCTTCGAATGTCTAAAAATTCCCCCAAAAGTGAAAAAAGGCAAAGTTCTAGCGCAGCACTGTATTTAGATATCTCCAGTATAATATCCAGTACAATTTCAAAAGCAGAACTCGGAACTCGGGGGTGCCATTAGAAAAAACTACCCTTGGTTGGAAAAAACGACGAGAAATACGATGGAAACCACAAAAGTTAAAAAAACGCAGAGTTCTAACCCAGTACCCCCCTCAAATACTCTGCCTTTTTCACTTTTGTGAGAATTTTTAGACATTCGAAGGTACTTCTCGACATTTTTCCAACCAAGGGTAGTTTTTTCTAATGGCACCGCCGAGTTCTGCTTTTAACATTGTACTGAGTATTATGCTAGAGATATATAAAGGGGGTGATGTGCTAGAACTCCGCGAGTTTTCACTTTTGTGGGCATTTTTAACGTTTTGGAGGTATTTCTCGACATTTTCCCAAACAAGGGTAGTTTTTTCTAATGGCATCACCAACTTCTGGGAATTTTTTGACATTCGAAGGCATTTCTCGACATTTTCCTAACCAAGGGTAGTTTTGTTTTCACTGCAATATACACAATTCGCGTACTCTCTCTTTTCCTACCCTCTTCAGGTAGCTGTCATGTCCTGTGAGGAATTGTGCAGAGCAGATATCTATCCGCACCGCTCCCTTGTCAATCCAAGTTTTAATATCGGGGATCAGCATTCTGGTCCATGCGCCTTGGCCAGTTGCATCCCATCTCTCCTGCCATCTGACCAAGAATGCCTCTCTTTCGTCGCTTGCAGCTTCGCTACCCTTTTCATACAGCGAATATATCTCCGCAGCTTGCAAATCAATTGGTGGGATACCAGCCACCACCAGGAGTGCGTCGGTCGACACCGTCTGTAAGCGCACACCACGCGCATCACTACTTTTCGCTGGCTTCTCGATATCAGCTGTCTATATTTCTTTTTCCTCAAGTCCTTGTTATATATATAGGACGTACAGCATAATCGCATGGTCGTCAGCATACCCTATCAAGCGAATTCCCGGCAGCATCTATAACCGAAGAACCCCACCCCAAAGCAACGGCCCTAGGACGAAGCCCTGCGGCACTCCCATGAAAACCTTGATAACCTGATAGCTAGGGGTATCTAGCTTCTCGAGAGATTCGACGATTTTTTGCCTTTGTGTCGTATTAAAGGTATTCTTAACGTCAAAAGCAACCATAAAGCAAAGCTTCTTACTATTGTAGCTACCGCTATCCGCTGCTTTCGCCAGCTATGCCACTGCACTAAGTGCATCTGTGGTAGACTTTCCGTTTACCGTAATGCAAGGGAGACAGCCCGTTCTTTTCCTCGTCGTATTTTCTCAGCCTACCTTATATCAGTCGTTCTAGAAACTTTCCAAATGAACTAAGCATACATAGAGGTCTATATTTGACTTACCTATCGGTGGCTTCCGGAGGTTTAGGGATGAGTACCAAACCAGCCTCCTTCCACCTCTTCGGAAATACTCCCGTTCTCAAGCATTCACTCATCACATATAGCACGATTTCGGGTGTATGAGCTTTTCTAGTTCCTTTTTGGTATAGTGGTGTTGTTTTTTGTACTCAAGCATCAAGACGTTACTCCTTGTTTCATTTGCTCTATGGTACTTTGTATTTTCTCTTGTTATTCTACGACTGATAGTTAGGCATTCTTTTCTTTTTTGAGCTATTTCGTTATTCCACCAATACTTTGCTTCCTTCACTTTACCATTTTTGTGGACCACGCCGAAGATGGTGTATTGAATATTATGCTGGAGATATCTAAAGTGCTTTCGCGGAAAGTTTTTAAGTTTTGAAGGTATTTCTCGTCATTTTTCCCAACCAAGGGTTATTTTTTCTAACGACACACCCGAGTTATGCTTTATAAATTGTACATAATATTATGCTAAAGGTATTTGAGGAGGATGCTGCGCTATAATTCTGCCTTTTTTCATTTTTGGGTGAATTTTTGACATTCGAAGGTATTTCTCGACATTTTCCGAACCAAGGGTAGTTTTTTCTAAGGGCACCCCCGAGTTCTGCTTTTGAAATTGTACAGAATTTTATGCTAAAGATATTTGAGGGGAGTGCTGCGTTAGAACTCTGCTTCTTTTTACTTTTGAGTGAATTTTTGTGGTTTCGAAGGTATTTCTCGACATTTTCCCAACCAAGGGTAGTTTTTTCTAATGGCACCGCCGAGATATGCTTTTAAAATTGTTCTAGATATTATGCTAGAGGTGTCTAAAGGGGGTGCTGTGCTAGAGCTCTGCGATTTAACACTTTTGTGGGAATTTCTGGTCTTTCGGGGGTATTTCTCCACATTTTCCCCAACCCTATTCATCTGCGGATCTTAAAAGAAAAAATAAATTTAATGCTGGAGGACCAATGACGAAACGTTAAATTCTAATTATGCCATCTTGTAGAGAAGAAAAAGTGGCAATGTTAATGTGCAACATTTAAGCAACTTCGCATCTCTTACAGTCTCCGAGAATGCACTGGTGAAGGTCGAATTTGAAACGCCCTGTATAATAAGTTCACAATCAATGAAAATAAATTAGGGTTACAAAAAAAAGTTTGAATTTTGATTCGAAAATATCAATACTACAAATTGCTTAAAATCCTAGATTTGTCAAAGAACAGTTATAATACAGAGAAATCCAAATACGAGAGAGAAGCGTGCAATAGGTATGTTAGAAAGAGTGCGCCGATGGGAACGAGGTAAGCTGCAACTGCGTCCTTGGCCTCGTCACTCGGGCTACTAGGCAACGTGCCTCTATCTCTTTCCAATATATGCAATGCATGCTTCTCGCGCTTCTCTCTCGTGCACCTTACAACGTAAGTGGTATATGGATTTCTCCATATACAACATTCACTAAAATGCAATTTATTGTTTTAATTGCCAAATATACTTTTAAATCTAAAAAATATAACTCAATTTAATAATAGGCAAATACTTTTGCCTACACTGATTAAACACATTTAATAAATTTAGTTGGGTTCTAATAGTTCTTTAATTTTAAATAAATTGGTATGTGTCAAATAGTTGCATTCACGGTATTTATAAAGCGGAGGTGGGCCACTGTGCAGCGTGATATCCTCCAAAAGCTGACTAAAATGCTCCAAAAGCTGACTAAAATGCTCCAACAAAAAAATCAAGTATTCCGCACCTGGTAATCTGTTCTCGAAGAAGAAAGACCCGATAAATTGTCTGCCAATAATCCCTCCACAAACATGTATGCTCCAGTGGTTCTGGAAATCTATTTGTCTAGACCAGTAGGTGCTTTTCCATCGTATAATAGTGCATGGTATATTTGTTTACAACACATATGCCGCTAAAAGTTGCCTCATCGCTAAAGAGAACTTTATGCAGAAAAATAGCGTCTTACACTCCATTGGAGCTACGGAACTTTGAGAGCGAATACCTTAATGTAAGTATAGGTGATATGATGGAGTCTATAATTGTTAATAATTATTTGGACAGAACTTCTTATATCAATTTCTGCTCCGATTTGCCGTGCAGTTAAATATGGATTGCTTTGCAACTTTAATAGAACCTTCAACTCCTCATTGGTGACTTTTGTACTGTAGTGCACTGATCCATTTGATTCAAAACGTTCTTATAGTGCGGAAAAGGCTTCCGACCTTGGATGCCGCAAATTAGGGTATCGTGGCTTATTAATGCGAGATGCTAGGAAACTATTTCTTTGCGCTTCGCGCAAAACGAACAATTTATGATGATGCGATATTTTGATTAATTACTTCGTTTGATATTAAACTTGTTAATAACTGAAAAAAAGCTGTAAAAACACTAATGTTCCTCATATCAAAAAAGCTCATGAAAAATTGAATCTGAAGATGCAAACATATAGAGGGTGTTGCATCATCAATTTTTTTAAACGTTCATTTAGCATTTTAAGTATACTCGTAAATGAAAATGAAAGTTCGAAAGCTTATTGAATAAGATTAAAGCTGAGGTGTGTAAGTCTTTTTGGTAAAAAATTCATTGCTAAATCGTGGCGGAGTGGCAGGATACCGAGATTGGGAGTTTTTATAAGCAAAACACCTAATAGCTCATCAACTTATTACTAAAACCCCATAGTATGATATATATCCTTAAATTTCTTTGGGATGAAGGCAAAGTTTTGCATAAGTACACCCTTTTAACTTGAACTCCAGAACAGTTAAGGCAATTAACTATGAATAATATATATATATATATAATGTTTTATCTACATACGAAATAAAATTTGAAGCATTCCATTTGAAAAGTTATAACTTTGATATGTGCTTCCAAATACCATGTATGATTTTCATAGGAGAGCTTTGCCCAATAGTAATCATCCATCCTCGCACGCTCGAGCCAGCCCAAATTATAACACAAGGTTAGTGAGATACCCATTTCAAATATATCTGTCAAAAGGTTGATCCATGGTAATATTGTTCATACCTGTTGAGTTTATTTTTTAATAAATATAATATGTTTTACACATACACACACCTAACACGAATACGTAATTCAGCACACATTGTTTATATCTAACTGTTAAAAATGTTTTTCCCATGAACCATGAAATACCTGCATAATTATGCAATTCCTATGGAACAGATATTTTCTTGTCATTAGCCCCGCAATACCATCTGCTATGTTATCAACATATGCGTGTTTGCATGTACAAGAAAATACTGTACATACTCCGAACAAGTACAAATCGTCTTACATCATTAACGCAATAGCTAATTACTAACTGTAAATTCATTCAAATAGCGCCACATCCGTGCCAACAAAATGTTCACACGTTGTGGGGCGTGCAGCTGTGTGTCGTAACCGTACAAGTATGCCAGTTTACATTCATTTGGGATTTTTCATGCTCATATTGTCGGATTTGCCTGATTTAAATTTCTCGCTGGTTTCTTCCTGCGTTTTTCAAAAATAACATTTCATTTTTATCACACTTCATTTTAATTCAATAAAATCTCTATAATGTTATTTGAGCCCTTTGTTCAGAGTTGTGAGGTATAAAAATGTAAGTACGCAAAGCTGTTATATATTTATCGTATAAGAAAAGGAGGCAAACTCAAAATCATAACTGTTTCATTAAGGTCATCCAAAGTGACCCCAATCAGTAGCCAGGCTTCTGACAGACCCTAAGGAAGATCAGAGATGCAGCGGTAACTCATCTGGAGAATGCAATATTTGAAGATCATACCTGTTATAATCTCCACAAATCATAATTCGATAACCAGTGATGATTCGTACTGCTTTTTGTCCTAGTTAGTTTCCATATTTCGTTTTAAACCAGCTATTTTCAGAGCAGCAGGGTTGATTTATACAAAATTACTATAATTTAATTTTAAATCGAAGCTAAGCTGAAGATCAAAAACGGCTAAGATGCAAATCAATTTGCTCATTATTTTGGATTTACCTATTAAGGGAAGCTAGAGTCTATATTGACAACTAATATATATATATATATATATATATATATATATATAGTTGTAGTCACCGTTCTTGGCGCCATATGAAATAGGTAAACAAATCGAGTCTCCGTATCATGGGCGCAGACTGATCTTCAGCGCATCTGCTACTCTGTTGTTGAGCTTACCGAACAACTGGCGTAGGTTGCATGTGTATGTATGAGAGCAATGGAGAAGTTTCGCATAAGTAATGACATACCAGCAAAATTAAAAAATAAAAATAAAAATAAATTATTGATATCGGCCAATAAATGACAGAGAAATTGATACTTAAATGTGGCGTATTATAGCGCGAAATTATTTCTGGCCTTCGTTCGCGTCTGACGTCACACTTCTCTAGTGCCCAGCGTCTCGTCGCGTAGATGTTCGACAGGGTCTGTGCGTTTAGTCATTAGGCCTCTTGTTCACACACGTTTTTTCTGTGTGAAAATTTACGGTTAATTCGCCGTGGGTAGGCACGGTTGTCAGTGTTATGCCTCCACTACACGTCTTCAGATGCGTCGGCGGACGTCGGCAGATGCATCGGCAGGTGAATCCCCACGAGCTGACCACACGTCTGCAGACGTCTGCAGGTCGCTCAGTCTGTGTCAAGCCTCGACAGATGCAACGGACGCAATATTTAAAAAATGGATGTTGAGAAACTGCCGCAGCTATTTATTTGTTTAGTACTTTTAATTACTACTTGAGTGCGTATACTTACAACATTTTTGTTTTTGTGGTACTTATTCTTTGGATTCCACAGGCAGTTTTCTGCTTGATATAGCTCAATAAATTTGAAGGTTTCATCAGTGGTCATATTAGCCATGTTAGCGAAAAAGGTTAAGGTAAAAACCTTAAGAAGCGCGAGTACAGTCTCTTTCCCGATTCCGATAGCACTGATGCGTGCTCATTCGTCGTCAGACGTGTGGTCAGACGTCGGACGCTCGCGCCTTAATCCCTTTGTTGCGTGTCACAAAAACCGACAACAGACGGAAGAGCGCCAGACGCATCTGCCGACGTCCGATACCGCCCACAGTCGAGCAAATACCCCCCTCTACACGTCGGCGGACGCACCCGCAGATGACGTCTGCCGACGCATCTGCCTACGTGTGGAGGAGCCTTTATACGGATCATTATGGGAGCTTGTTGACATTCACGACGGCCGCCGTATTCACCGTACCTAGCCCTCGGCGTGATTTTCATCAGTGTTGTATCACAGACTATGGGCGCTTGTCGACGGTGCCGAACGTATTCACGTTTTTGTCACACAAAATTTTTGGAGCAATTTATCGATTATCGTTTTCTGCATTCTAAAATAACTGTAACACTTGTCTTCATCTTCCTTAAGTTGATTCTTGACAAGTGTATGAAATGCGCTAAATTTCTCCCGTTTTTCTAAAATTGGATGTATCCAAATTCTTTTTTTCTGTTCTCTTTTTTTGAGTTTTCTGTATAATACATAGTATGCAAGGATAATATTTTTCTTATGAGGATTCATGGCGAGGTCGTCTGTAGCTTGCCGGAGAAAAATCTCAACTGAGCCTGGTCCCCTAGCCGTTGTCTCGACCGGTAGCTTTGTCGTGCCATGTACAAGCTTGCACGTTTTGTTAACCGTGCGGGTAACACGTCGTACGATGAAGAAATCTTCCCATATACAAGAGGCCTTAGTCTACACAAAATTCATAAGACACACCTCTGCGCTCGGACACGTGG